TTTTTTTCCACTTACTTCTCTTTGCATGCTTGTGCGTCGCAAGCTGCAGAAACTGTAGCTTTTTGGTTAGGTCAAATACAAAAAGGACAAGTAAACGTTCAATTAAAATAATGAGTATTTTATTATAGATAAGCAATGTAAATTAATACATGTATCACACAACTAATTACAGAGATAAATACACTTGTACGATTGCCTATTTCAACACAATTGTTTTTTGATTAGTAATGACGTTTTTTGGTGTCGGGTTTGTTTCTTAAAATTGCTTTCTAATTTTGAGAATGGGTACTGCCATTATTCCTGTACTATTGAAGGGTACCCATCTCTTATCTGCAGCACCTCTAATCCCAAAACATTCAGTTACAAAAACACTGGATATGAAGATCGTAAATTCCAACAGCAAAGCATCATAAAATTGTTTTTTCCCTGTCTCCTCAGTTCAACATATATATAATTTTTGAATTGCACGATTAAAACAATGTGATCTTTGTTTCCCATGAATTCGGGGCTTTCCATATTTGATAAATGATATCAAGTTTGATACCTTTTTCAGTATACACCTGTTCTATGCTTAAAATATTCCTAAATTTTAGTTTACTACAATCCATGACAACGATGTTTAATTTCCCGTTAATAGCAGTACTTTCAACCTTTCACTGATTTTGAAATTGTCCTCAGCTGGTTTCATTAATTTTAGACTCAATTCAATTCAAGATGCTCTGTGTATAATTAGTTGTACCACAGAATTAAATTTTAAACTCCATAGATCTAGATTTTGACATGTTGTAATTTTTTCAGTTTTTCGCATAGCAATAAGATTATTTGATTTACAATCAACCGGAAAAATTGAAAAAGAGAGAGAAAAAATACACAAAATTCAATGGACAAGCTTAAAGGTAGCACGGCACACCCAAACTAATTGAGGCATTTGGAAATATCGAACAGTATTTAAGATCAAAAGTAAATACAACAATAAAACATTACAACATACAACTAGAAGCAGAGCAAACACGGAAGTCCAAAACAAAAGGTGGGATCAGGTGCCATGGAGGAGTGAGCATCCCCTGACGACCGGTCACATCTGCGTGTTTTCCTTGTTATGATCAGGAAATAACGGAAAAATTCGTCGTCAATATAGTGTATAAATAATGGATTAACATTCAGTATGAAAAACGTCAGTTAGCATTTAACTCAGTTATGGATTGCTGTTGCTGACAATGTCATTATATCGACCATAGAACTTACGAAATGACGACTTAATCATTAATAAAGACATCATGCAGAAATTGAAATTTACAAATTAATCTTTCTATAAATTTATTTCATCATTGCTTAAGACACAAAGAAAGGAATACGGGTAATTTAAAAATAACGTTAGCAGAGTTGGAAAGTGAATTTCTTGGACTATGTATAATCAAGCTCCAAACAGCCGCACCGAAAACTAGCGCCATGCGTATTAAGTATGTATACTCATACTGTCATATAATTAATAAAAATGATTGTGTATATATCATAAATACGAGTTCTTCATCATATCTTTTCCTTAACAATTCAGTACTAATTCCAAAGTTCAGAAATTAATGGTGAATCAGAAATCCAGAAAATGATGTACGACCAGATTTATCATTACTGTACATGGACCTTTGACCAAGATTAGATACAATTTTTACTTCGTCTCCGGCAGCGAAATTCAAAATCACAAACCCGGTACCAGCACCTTCGTTATACTTCGTCTCTGTAGCTGCATTGATGGAGCCTCTTATTATACTATTTTGTTTTAAAACGGCTCCCATCACTCGGAATTGACCAGATTCCCCAGATATATGTTTCCCTTCTGCGTGCAATGTCCAAGAAACGCAAAGACACCAGATGTTGGGCCGATGAATGTTCAAGTCCTTAATTATATCCATTTCCAAGGTTATTAACAACAGTATCAGAGATTAATGTTTGTCCCTCGGATAAAGACTTGAAATCGGCGGAATAGTAGGCATAAAAAGCATTCTGTGTTTTCTGATATTGTGTTTTTCCTTGCAAACTGAAATAAGACATATCCTATCAAAATGCATGATATTTTTCTAGATAGTACATGTTTCAGAAAAAAAAAATAACTACTCGATGTTGTAATTGAGTAAACATTTTTGTATATAATAGTGTATTTTGAAGTCTCTTTTATAAATTGAAGGTTGTTATATTCCGCTGTTTGATCATGTTCAAAATATAATCTTAAAAAAGTAAACATCAATTAGTTGTGCATGTATGTTTATTCTTCACAGAAACAAAAAATGATTTAAAAGTCACGTTAATAACATTTATATAACTTTTAAAAATTTAAATTTTGTCATTGTGATTTGTCGAGACATAGACAAAGAGTTGATCTTAAGCATTTCTACCAATGGAAAAAGCAGAAAAGAACAATCCAGCCGACAGAAATGATCTGCAAAATAACAAATAATAAAAATGAAAAGATATATTTACCATCGGAAAAATTTCCAAAATTCGTTTGAATATTTACATTTTCTTCCATCAGTCGCGCTACTTTATTTTTCATTGTCTGAACATCATATATAAGTTGTTCAATGTTTTGAATAAGTTGCAGCTTTTCATGATAATAATTTTCCTGGCCACGAAAAATTTCTCCTAAAGTTTCTAATACCTTTGTAGATGAGACATTCTTTTGTTGCTTTGGTAGAAAAACGGCCGCTAGTGTATGCACATTTGCAAACAACATTACGGCAATTGTTACTAATAAACCTGTGATGGAAAAAATTGAGAACCGCATAATTTACTTATACCAGAAACATGCCTGCATTTGCTGATATTTCCCCTAATTATATAACACAAGTACTTACATAATGCGTATATCATGCGTAGGTTCTTCAGATAAAGGGTAAACAGCACATACATGTATTACTGCGCATAAGCAGGTTTATTTTTTAATTAAATATTGCATATTATACCTAATTGCATTTGTCAGTCTTGAAAAATAACAGGGATTGTGTTCATGCAAAAAATTATATATAAAAAAACAACTTAGCAGTATCAGTGTCCATTTACGAGCAAATAGTAAATAGTTCAGAGATATGACAACATTAATGACGTAATATGGAATTCGATTATGATTAAGACATTTAAGGTTATTTTTGGACTTCAGATCCCAAGGTTCCTTTGAAAGGTGATTTTTTTTTTAAATGTGCATGTCAATTTTAAGAAGTTTTGATATTATCAACAATGCTTGATTTATTATTTTTCGTTATCTCTATATTTCATGGTTTTGAGTTTGAATTTTGATAGGGCGTTCATATTTAAAACAATATATCATCTGACATCCCACCCACAAATATACCGAAAGCAGGAAACCACATTTTGTTAATTTCCTTGTACATTTTCATGTGACACTTATTTCGGGTCTCACTGAGCAAAACATTATAATGTCATTTTGTAGGCTGGAGGTATCATTTAGTGAGCTCAGTGCTCACAATACCTCTAGTTTATGCAAGTGGTACGTTTAAGATGAGAATGGGACTTAATTACACAGGCGGAGATGTATCGAGGGCTTACAGACTATCTAAGGTGGTATTCTCTGTCTTATGCATTAAATTTATGCATATTTCATACTCCCCCATAAGTTGATCTTTACTTTTTTGGCTTAATTTATGATGCAATGTCACTGACACGATTTCACAATTGTTCAATATTTGAAAATGATAAATAATGTTTTAGAAGTAATTGTTATTCGTCTTTGAATTATTGAGTAGTGCCCTTTTTCTTCAAAAAGTTCAAAAGTCCACTTAAATGTATTGATTGGGAGAATGGCAAACATGTGCCTCTAAAATCATCAGAAGTGAGATCTTTTGCATGAAGGAATGAGCACAACCTTACATGTATACAGGTGATATCCGCCGTGACTCCTTGTCCTTGTCAGGCAAACGGAAAAATTCTTAAACAATTCTTAATTTGTTAATTATAAGTTCGGCCGTTGACAATGTGTTCATAATGGATTAAAAAATTTGCAGGTAACCGTCCATCAGTATTCGACTTAATGAAAGAACTTATTTTCTGATAAAGCCATTAAGACTTTTCAATCCTTATTTCATCAACTTATTTGTTAGGAGCTGGCCTCGTTTTAGAAATTGACCATACTTAGAGCATGCTCTTGCGTATTGAATCAACTGGGAGGCATAAAATCTATACGCAAATAATAAGGGTATGGGGTAGGAGCGAAGTTGATATAAAAGTTGAAGCCATAATGTTTGTCAAAGAGTTTTGTTGTTAAGTTAATATTTAACAATACGGGGGTATAGCTTTTACGGGGTATCATAATTCAAGTTTAAATTCAAACTGGTTGTTGACAATATCCAAACTTCTTAAAACGGACATACATTTAAAAAAAAACACCTTTAAAGGGACCTTGGAATCTAAAGTCCACAAATAATTTTAAGAAGGCTGAGGGGTCAACAAATTAACCACAAATTAACCACCAGATTTAACTTGTTTTTTTTTTTAGATACAAATATAGTATCTAGTGTCTATATAGTGCTAGTATCTTAAGCTGTCAACTATCATTTGGCAAAGAAAATATTCATACATTTTAGTTTTAAAATTTATCATTGTTGCATATTTTTATATGAGGCTCTTCTTTTAAAGGAAATCGAAATAGTTTGAAAATGGCTGCCACCCCCAGCCTCTTTAAATGGCTTAATTAATCATAATCGAATTCCATATTATGTCATTAATGTTGTCATATCTCTAAACTATTACTATTTGCTCGTAAATGGATACTGATACTGCTAAGTTGTTTTTTGATAAAATTTTTTGCATGAACACAATCCCTGTTAATTTTCAAGACTGACAAATGTAATTATGTATAATATACAATATATAATTAAAAAAATAAACCTGCTTATGCGCAGTAATACGTACTGTTTACCCTTTATCTGAAGAACCTACGCATAATGTACGCATTATGTAAGTACTTGGTATATATAAAAAGGGGAAATATAAGCAAATGCATACATGTTTCTGGTATAAGTAAATCATGCGGTTCTCTAATTTCTCCATCACAGGTTTATTAATAACGATTGCCGTAATGTTGTTCGCAAATGTGCATATATTAGAGGCCGTTTTTCTACCAAAGCAACAAAGGAATGTCTCATCTACAAAGGTATTAGAAACTTTAGGAGAAATTTTTCGTGGCCAGGAAAATTATTATCATCAAAAGCTGCAACTTGTTCAAAATGTTGAAGAACTTATATATGATGTTCAGACATTGAAAAATGAAGTAGCTCGACTGAAGGAAGAAAATGTAAATATTCAGACGAATTTTGGAAATTCTTCCGAAGGTAATTATATCTTTCCATTTTTTTTTTTGAGGTATCGCATAAAACTAAATAATTAAAGATGTTAATCCTTCCATGCTTATTAAGTTACTACCTATTGAATATTATTGTCTGTTTTTACGTGAAGATAATTTAAGCAGCATCTAGAAGCTTTTTAGTTTATTTTTTTAAATTTTCCTGTATATACCCATAAACTTTAGTAGCTAGATGCTCCATGACATTCAATGATGTTCCCATTCTTGGAATTCATTTTACGCGTTGATTATATGTAAATGCCTATAAAACATTCATATCCCCTCCAATTCAATCCAAAATTTCACCAAGTGACGTTTCATGAATACACTAGCGACAGATAAAATTTCATGGTTCTTTCTGCGCCACAACCGTGCATTTTTAAATTTCATTAAAAAGTCTATGTAATATATAAGCGTTGGAAAAAGTAGCATGCTACGTAAAGCATGTTTTGTCAAAATAATATGGCTGTATGTTTTTCAATTATCACTGTAGAACATAAAATCTTTGTATGCTTGTTGGAAAAAAGGTTTAAGTTTTTATCTGGAGAGTTTAACCGGTTTCATGGAAATAGCGTGCTCACAAAAGAACTTGTCCGCGAACTTTTCTAACAACCCTCGAATATTAACAACTTTCAATTTATAAAGAGACTTCAAAATATACTATTATATACAAAAATGTCTACTCAGTCACAACATCGAGTAATGAATACGTCCGTTGCCTTTGATATTTTTTCCTATAACATCTTTCTAGAAAAAATTCATGCATTTTGATGGCTTATTTCAGTTTACATTGAGAAAACACAATATCATAGAAACACAAAACGGTTTTTATGCTTACTATTCCGCCGATTTCAAGTGTTTACCCGAGGGAAAAACATTAATCTTTGATACTGTTGTTACTAACCTTGGAAATGGATATAATGAAAGGACTGGAACTTCCTTGCCCCTACATCAGGTGTCTTTGCGTTTTCTTAGACATTACACGCAGCTGGGAAGAAGGATATGGAGATAACGAACAGTATTCAATCTCAAAGTCCATAAAACAATACAAAATTAGAGCAGAGCAAACACGGACCCCAGAAACATCAGAGGTGGGATCAGGTACCATTGAGGAGTGAGCATTCCCTGCCGACCGGTCACACCCGCCGTGTATCTCTGGGGAATCTTGTCAATATGGAGAGATGGGAGCTGTTTTAAAACAAAACGGTATAAGAAGAGGCTCCATCAATGCAGATACAGAGACGAAATACCGGGTTTGTGATTTTGAATCTTCCTGCTGGACACAAAGTAAAAATTGTGTTTAATCTTGGTCAAGTGTCCATGTACAGTAACGAAAAAATGGGTCGAACATCATTTTCTAGATTTCTGATTCACCATTAATTTATGAAAGATTGGAATTACAACTGAAATATTAAGGAAATGATATGATGAAGAACTGGAAAATTGTAAAGATTTTTCCCGTGTATTCCTATGTTAAAATTTTATACCCCATTGCGGCCATTTTTAAAAGATGTTGTTAATTTTTCACTGATTCATAATTATCTCCCCTAGAAATAGAGTATGGCCCTTCATTTGAACAAACTTCAATCCTCTTTACCCAAAGATGCCCTGTGATAAGTTCGGTTAACATTGATCAAGTGGTTCGTAAGAAGAAGACGAAAAATTGAAAAGATTACAACCACGACGACGACAGACAATGGACAAATTTTGATAAGAAAAGCTTACTTGAGCTTTCCTCTCAGGCATGCGAAGATGTTGCTGCTCTTGTAAGATAGCTTATAACGAAAACTCAAACCAAGATGTTTTTTTTTATCTACATCGTCCTGTTTTATTGCAAATGCACCACAATAAAACTGCTAAATTCAAAAGAAATTTTAAGGTATCCGACTCATATAAGGACCAAATTTTCTTACCTTTAACATCAATTGTGTATAAAATTTTAATGTTATTTCAAAGCATCTTATAGTTCAAAAAGGATTTACCAAGTGAAATTTTCAAAAACTCTATTACCTAAGCGTTAATTTATCATTGAAGATTGCATTGAAGTCTATGGAAAGAAGAATTTTTTTTTTTAATCAAAAATAAATACCGGGAATATCAATAAAATCAAAGAGTATTTTCCCCAAAATATTTATTTTTAGAATTGATTTATATTGAGTAAAATCAAAGAAAGATAACACTTCAAGGACAGGACATGGTCATGAATTAGGGCACATCCTAGTCTTGCATACTGATACTAAAATCTCTGTCTCTGAAAAAATATGTACCGGTATACATTGCACTGTTTTTATGTATATGTGTACTTTACTTCGGTCAAAATTGATATTCTCTTGTTAATAATAAACCATACTGAACAAAAAATGAGTCCATAATTGTATAATATCATTGAACCAGTATAGGCATAGTGTTCTCAAGATATTTGGTTTAGCAATTCATGATCTAATATATTTGATTATTTTTCTACAGCATTGGCGAAAAATGAAGGTGCGCTTTATACACGGTGGGGAAGAAGTGAATGCCCAGAGAATGAAACAGAACTTGTTTATCAAGGTATATATAAATGACACTTTCACGAAAAAGAAATGCAGATATCTACACTTTTATGAAAAGATAGATTTATAAACGAAATAATTTATCAAATCATGTAAATCCAAAATAAATTGCTCTACGGATTTTCTTTTAAATAAAAACGATTATGAGCCAAGTGAATGCTCGGTGGGAGAATGACACATTGAGAGTTAAAGAAGGTACAACTTGGTCGATATTGTGCCCTAAAAAGTCCATGTTCTTAAAAAGTTATGAAATTAGCTTCAACATGAGTTGAGTAGATAAATATGATAAACCATTCAATAACATGGCATGAAGAAGGACCATTCTTGAAATATGACGTCATTGATTTCGTACATTTCTTATTTTTATGCAGAAATGCCTCAAAATGAGTTATGTCGGTACTTATTTTTATTTAGAAATTAGTATCTACCAACATGGTCTACTTCAATTTTTTGATATATTGTGTAAAAAGATTTGAATGTTCATATACTGTAGACGTACTTTTTTCCACGGAGACATAATTCCATGGAATCTCAATTTCTGTTTAATCCGCGTGTAGAATATTACAGGGATTTCTCAGACTGTCACTATATGCCTTACATTTATATTAAGAACGCATGGACAAATTTCCGTGGAAAATATGTGACCGCGTACATAGCGTAAATTAATACCACGCGGAAAAAGTACTTCTACAGTAGCTCAAAATCTTAATGGGCGATACATGCACTATATATTTTCTGAAAGAGAATTCCACTAAAAATTGATGTCTTTTGAAACTTTAAAAGAAAATACGGGAAAATTATCAAGTTCATTACGTCACGATTAGCATTTAGGAGGTCATAATGAAAAACGACTTTTATGGCGCATCGAATTTCAATAATTGAGAAAGGATGAATTTAGCTTCTTACATCACTTCTAAAATTTAGAAAAAAACGAGTAAAGGGCAAGATTAGTATTGAAACTGTACCATATTCTTTACTCACTTCAACAGAATGCAAGGGGAAATGCCAAGAATATATAATTTTCATAGTTCCTGTTTGTTATACTCATGATATGCATTTTTGAATGGGCTTTTCAACTTGATTATATTTTCTTAATTCCGTATTACATGTACACCTGATGAAAAATATGATTTAAGAAATATTAGTATATTTTTTATTAATACATTACATTTTGATAATGCATTTTATATCATATAGTATTAGTATTATTCTACAATTGTGCACTAAGGTTACATATAATGCCAGTTTATAGCATTTTTTTTTACTTTTAGGTTTTGTAGGAGGTAGCTATTACTTACATCAGGGTGGTTCGGTTAATTATATCTGTTTACCGTACGATCCCACCTGGGGGAAGTACAATGACGTCTTGAATAATGACAATCAGAATCTACACGGTGTCGAGTACGCAGGAAATAGTATTAATATATCTGGAACTCCATTTGATGGACAGCTACGAGGACATGGTGTCCCTTGCGCTGTTTGTCGGAGCACCAAGCGAAGATCAGTTTTAAGAATTCCAGGAAGAAATAAATGTTACAATGGCTGGCATCTGGAATACGCTGGCTATCTTATGGCTGACAAATTTACACATGCGTCAGCCACCGAGTATGCATGTGTGGATGAATTTCCAGAAAAGTCTAGGACAGGTCCCGTTTCCAAAGGTGGTAAATACTTCTATCCGGTAGAAGCACATTGTGGATATTCCTTACAGTGTCCGCCATACGTTCATGGACGAGAAATTACTTGTGCAATTTGTACAAAATAGGATGCAGCTTTCATTCTAAAATTGAGTCGCAATGAGCCGTATTTTCAATCTTTCTGTTATTGCATTTGTCTGGTTTTTATTTTATTGTCAAAATTTTCCATGAACTTTTGATGGGTATTTTATACCAGAAGTGCTATTCTCGACAGTTGTAGGGAATGTTTTGTTTTGGAAAAAAATAAATGAATGTATTAGAATAAAAGATTAATCTTAATATATAGTATATCGAAATAGCAACTTTAATGTATATACTAGATATATCAGTCACAAAACGTGCATTTTTATCGCAAAATAAATATCCACTGATTTATAGCCGTTCTATTTTCTGTCTTACAAGCTTCGATTTGCAGTTAAATTCATGTTTATTCATTAAATATGGCAATTTTTGCTCTACTGATTCTTTTGTGGGTCCATTGAAGTGAGTTTAGAACAAATCCGTCTCCATAAGTTTCATGAATCAAATATTGATCTAATGCTCATTTAGGAACTTGACCATTTAAATGTTCTTAAATTGTCACTTTCTGTAGTAGTTACCCCATAGCATACTGTTGGTTATGTGTAGATACCCGATGGGCGTGGTCATAATGACACGAGGGAGCGTAGCTCTCGAGTTGTCATTATGACCACGCCCATCGGGTATCTACACATAATCAACAGCAGTGTGATATGGGGTAAATGACTTGTACCATAGTTTTCAAAAATCATTTATATGTAAGTCAAATGCAAGATGCATTTCATATGATTTTATGCTCCTTCGTGTCCTTCTGACCACGCCCATCGAATATAGGGTAAGTGAATTGTATACAATACTTTTCAAATTTTGCTATAAATTTTGCCCTATACTCGGTCATTGAGCAGTGAGAGATCTTCTTGTCAACACCTTCTGCGACACGGGACCTCTGTTTATACTTTATAGGTCTCCACGTCCCACAGTGGGATTCAACTCCTTACTTCGTGACTCTAGGGCAGGCGCTTTAACCACTGGGCCACACAAGCGACATAAAAATTAAACATATAGATCTAGGCCCGTTTAAAAAGTTTGATTTATGTAATTGAAAAAATAACGAGTTTGGTTTCAATGATCAATGCTAATTTAATATGATTTTTTCTCTCTCGTAAATTTCAATAGTCAAATTTACATGCTAGTAATTTAAATTTATTATCAACTTGGTTTAACTTAGATTTTTGTAAACATGATACAAACTTTGCCGTGAACAGTGGTAACTTGATTGAAATGTTTGTTAGGAGTTATATGTATATTTCAATTTAATGAAAATTAGATCTTTGATCCGCAATCGAAAAGGTCATTTAAGTACAGTAGTGTACACTTGTTTTTGCGTCAAGTATGTTCATGTACCGTGTTTCCCTTGTTGGTTATCAAAAGAACGATATATTGGAATCTACTAAGCTAACGTCACCCTGGTAATTACACTTTTTAAAAAAAGGTTTAAAAATCAAGCGATTTCCTAAGTTTTTTCTTCACTTTTAACTAAAGTTAAAGTATTACTGGCCGTTTTTAACTGTTATTTATTACAAATTGATGTATTTAATTGAAAATTTTTACTCATTTTTACTCTCCTAAATTTGGTATAACAAGACCGTATGTTTCATTTAAAAACCGAGCATGATCGTTTTATAAATAGTTCTTTTATCCCAACTCGATGGGCGGAGTTATAGAAAAGTGTGGGTTATGTACAGAAAACGCACACTTTTAACAAAAGAAATCACTCGTAACTAGGGTACAACGTTGTATAATTTTCTAAAAAAAAAAACAAAAATCTTCACTAAGATGAAAAAATGTTACAAAATTGTACCCACGGATATAAAAAAACCCAACATATTTCCTGGGTGATTTATTGGTTTAATCTTTGTTGATTTTGAAATCTGAAGTGGCAGTATACGTAATGCATCCCTTAACCTTAGGGTGATACATTTGGCTTGCTTTAAAGGTACATGTACTTGGACAGAGATTTGAAGTTAATATTTTCTGTATAATATCATGAATTATATATTTTAATAACATTCCACACAAAAATTAATTAAAAATATTATTTCATATGAAAGTTATTAAAACTTCACAACTTTTTGGCGGGTTTGATTGACACATCCTTGCACTTTCAATGATTTTAACTTTATTTTTAATCCTTAAGAAAAGTGGCAATCTTGTTGTGTATTCGTGAAAATTATTAAAACTTGAATCCAGAAAAATAATTTTATTCAGAGTAGAAATGTTAAAAAGAAAAACACCTTCAGAAGTATCGTCATTCCATTGAGTACAGAGTTTTGCAAATCGATCACACTCGTGTTATGTACACAGTTTTTGTAAACAGGGCTGGAGTTTTGTTATTGTTTTGTGTTTACGATTCACCGGGTGCGTTCAATCGCCAAAGTCTGTTCAGCACAACTGCACGGACTGACAATATATTGTGTGTTTGTTTTGTTTTCAAACATGTCTACTCTGAATATGTTTTGGATTATAGTATAAATATTTTTCATTAATACACAAGATTACCACTTTTCCTAAGGATTAAGAATAAAGTAAATAATTGTGAAAGTGCAAGGATGTATCAATCAAACCCGCCAAAAAATTTAAAAGTTTAATAACTTTTAAATGAAAGAAGATTTTTAATTGATTTTTGTGGGAAATGCTATTGAAATCTATAAGTCGTAATATTATAGAGAAAATATTAACTTCAAATCTGTGTCCAAATACCTTTAAAATCAAGAAATCTCTTGCAACAGACCAGAAATTATAAAATCCTATGAAAGTTGCTTGGGTCAAACACTAAAAGGATAAAGATATGAACAAATTGAGACAGCAGTAAAACCAGAAGCTACAATGAAATAAACAATTTCGAGACACGTGTATTCCTCGGTAGATGTTTGTTTGTTTTTTATAGTTATTTTAAGCCTTTCTCGACAATTTTTCACTCATACGGGGACGTCCCCCTCCGCCGGTGTGCGTATGTGCACATTTATAAATATAATGTCTTTACTCCACACTCTGAGCCATTCAGAAGTACATGTAGTATACATTTTTCATGCTAACACGGTATACGGTCTTGCCAGAAAGAACAGTTTCCACGTTATCAGGTTATGCTGTAGATTCAAACCAGCAATGTAAGGACGAGCTCTTTACTCGTCGACTCTAGAGCAGAAGCTCTTACCACTGCGTAAATATTTTAAAGATAAACAATTTTGCTGATGAGACTTCCGCAAAAATCAGGACGGCACAAAACAAGCATCTCAATTTGACTTCAACTGTAAACACGTTTTTCAGTGGTATATAAACATGTACAGGTACGGGTTTGTATGATCTTAATAAGACTTTATACGTAATCTCTCGAAAAGATATGAATGGCCAAAGCTTTATATACTATTACATTAAAAAGACAAGTCCTGCATAAAATATTTTTGAGAATGTTATACCTCAAGTTTATATTTCAGCTGGAATGTTTTTACCTTTACTTTAAAACATTCAATCATTAAAAAACATTTAGAGCTGTATCCGCCGGTAAAGGATGAGGTGACATAACTGTTATCTGGGGCCCCCTTTTCCACGACGAATTATATTTAATCTACAACAATGTTAGTCGATTTTTAGACCCTATCACAACTAAATTCAGCCAGGTTTGTGAGAATATGTTCTTTTATGGGCAGGACTTAGTACAATAGATGGAATTGTTCGTCCGAGAAGACCTCATATGGCTATTATTATTATTTCGCACATAGTCATTGTCCAATCCGATGACAGAACAACAAAACGTGCTTGTTTACAACGTTTACATTTTATCTCAGACACGTGGATTAGGTCAATTAACCTGTTATTCTTTTTCTACATTTCAACTATTATAATGGTCAGCCAAGATTGTTTATACTTAATAATACGCATGGATTTTCAGCATTTACGTTTTTTAGGACAAGAAATGCACATGAAACTTGAATTCAATGATACTCGGGAATACGCGTAGACCTAGCTAATTGCTCACCAAACACGCTACAAAACCTTTAAACTAATGTATATTTATCAATTGTTTGTAAATTATTTAAATTTTTACTGCCATTTCGGCTCCAAATTGTACATATGTAGATCCGTGTTTAATCTGTGACTCAAATGCAAAAAAATTTCTGAAAGCAGTGAAATTCCATAGTGTATTTTTGTGGTACTCACTCGTAACGAATTTCATTTAGCTGATTGGTCAGTTAGAAAGTCTCGCCATGCCTCGATTAGCATATGAATACATTCTTACGTCAGAAAATCTAGTTCCGTCGATCCTGTTCGTAATGGGAAAGGGCAGCTAGATTTTACAATTTAAAAAAAGATAGCATGTAAGCGCAGTTACGTACAATTTTCTCTTTTTGCCTTTAGGTAGATTTCAATAAAATACAGTGACCAACCAAAGGAGAAAATTGTACCTACCTGCGCTCGTTTATTTTAAGGGTTTCAAAGAGTGGAGTGGGGTTAAAATGCAATGGGAATTGGATGTAAACATGATACCCCTACCCCAACAAAGGATCAATATATTTCAAACCACGTGTCTATTTTTCTTAAAAATAATATTTTATGAAGGTACACATATCTGTGATTAGTTACATATAAAAATGTGAGTAAAAATTAGAAAGTTTATTTTTTGTCAATTTACCGGGGGCCGCAATTCGCCTCATCCTTTGTAGCCAAACTAGCCGTCTTAAATCTTAATCTTACCTTTGATACAGAGTGCTCAACGTGTCTCCGTGAGGAAAAGATTATTGATAAGATATTTAATGTTACACTCAGATCATAAATCGGTGATAGCCCGACTGGAGCAAGTTAGAGAGTTTGCTCTAGAGGAGACCTATAAACTGATTCCAGTATATGGCAGCAGTAACTTGCTGGCAAGAAAAGGATTCTTCACTTCTCATAGGCCTATAATGTTGAGTACAGGTCTAAATTTACACCGTGGCGTTTCAATGTGTTTTTGTTGGTATTTCATTTAATGTCCTTCTTGCGAATTTTTCACTTATATGGAGACATCAACATTTGCCGGTGTTAAGAAGAATAATGACCCGCATCGAATAATGACCGGGGGATCGTTTTTCGTTATCGAAAAATGACTCCCAGTCAATATTCTACGGCGGAAAATTACACCCGGTCATTATTCTACGTCGAAAAATGACCCTTTTGCCCATAGTAAAAGTGTCACTACCCTTAAAATTTGCAGAACCCAAAAAGAAGAAAAATGACCCCCGTAGAGAAATGACTCCCTGTGGATTAAAGCTGAAATTTTTAGGGGGCAAAAAAAATAGATAAAGAACCACACTGACCAAAATG